GAGCACAACCGTGATCGGCTACCATTTTCATTTCAAATCGAAAATGGAGAGCTATTAATTATTGCAAATGTCCGCCACTTGGCAGAGGTAAAATGGTACAATAATAAAATACAATAGAGAACGGAGTAGATAGGTTGCTAATCTACATCTAAGTTACACGACGATTTAAAAGTACACATTCGTACACACACATACACACACACATTATATATATAATATATACGAGACGAGATAGAAATAGATTTTGAAATTGGATCTCTGCGTTCCCGAATAGTTGGATGTTTCGACTTTTAGATATAAATCAAATTATTCCGAGTGGATTTGTGTAAATATTTTGTGCAATGCATGGTACGTCGATTTGACTCGAAAATTGTCTCTCCGCGTGTTCTCTCCGTTCCCTGCCTAAAATCAGAGGATTCTGACGTCAGGCAACAAATGAATTCAGCGTAATACCACGGTTGCACAACGAACGGATCCACGCGGAACGATTCAACGGCCTTACCGAGCATAGTTCAATTTTGAGGGCATTTTACACAGAGTCGTGCTTTAACCGGCTAATATTAACACCATATTTCAGGGGATAACGAGAGAACGCGCCCCGTTTAACGCGCACCCCCGTCTACACACGCAATGCGTGCGCCGGGCGATTTCTCTCGAAACCTCTCAACGTACGTCAGTGAAAATTTCTGGTAATAGTCCGGTAAGCTCTTTTCGGTGGAGCATACGATATTCGAATGGATTTTCGGAGAGCGTTCCGTGCTCGCCGATTCACATGAATACCCGGCATAAGCCACGCGGGCTTAACAAAATGATCCACTATGAATGAAACGCCTATTTCATCTATAGAGTTTGGTCAAATATGTCGACTCGAAGCCAGAAAGATATCGTTGAATCCGCGCCAGAAATTTCGTGACGAGATTCTTGCGATCGTGACGTTTTTCTCGAAATAAATACGTACGGTATATACGGTGTATATTATGTGTGCGTGGTTTTACGTACGCGCGGGAGTATCATCCTGGCCATTTCATGCGTTTTGGCATCGGACGCCATCATGTGACGTCGAATCGCGATATTCGAATTTCCATTCACTGCACCGACCATTTGCCCGGTTTGATGCTTCGTACCGTTCTCTCTCTCTTTCTTTCTCTCTCTCTCTTTTTCTGGCTTTCCTACTTTGATTACCAATTTTGATAATATCCACGCGCGTAGTGTCAATATTCTCATGCAAAATGAGGATCATATTTTTCCTTGTGTAACGTGGGTATGAATGTCTGTCAGCGAACCGATACGTGGAAAATATAACGTAAAGTAAATAATTATAAAATTCTAAAAGTAAATAGTTTTAAAAATTGTAAAATATTTCGTGATAAGTGTATCCGACGTATTCATTTTCTTCCGATTTTAAGAAACACTCGAAACAAGTTTCATTCTGATTCGATAGTATCATCGTGTCTTAAAGAAATTGCTGCCAAAATATAACTAAAAGTTACGATCATCTGAAAACACGTCAAAGTATGAAGCATTAGTTTCAGTTTCTTCGTAAATTTCCATTTTGCTCGATGTATTCCAGTAATCTTAAGAAAGTCGTGCATTCATTCTTCTTGCTGTGTCTGTTGCTTCATCTTTTTATCTTCTTTTCATGTGCGTGATATTAATTCGCATTAATTCAATATTGCGATTCACTTATGCGTCAAAATGGGACGTCGTCGATACAGCGACATCGTTTCTTTTCTTTCTTTTCTTTTTTTTTTTTTTTTTT